CAGGTGGCAGCACTTGAGCTTCTTCATCACTGTACATGGAAACCCATCGACGAGTGTTGTAGATGGCCAATCCAAAGGCAAAAATGTCGTTCGGTACACTCCACGTAGGCACATGCAGCCCATGCACGTGAGCATCATCGTGGTTCTGTGGGAGCGTTGCAGCCAAATCCCGCATATTAAACATATTCGACACGCCTCGCTGTAACGAGGCCGACACTCTCCTTTTAACAGGTACGAGCCCCAATCCACTCAGAACTCCACTAGCAGTAACATGATGACGAGCCAGTAGTCTGTTATCGTCAAAGTTTTTGTATCCAAGCTCACGTTCGTGTAGATACTGGAGTCCAAGTGCCCAGCCAAGCAGAGGTTCCCACGACTGTGCGTTTGCTCGATTCGATATAAGAGGTTCCGCCGGTTCGTGCACGACGAATGGCTCCTTACCAATATGACACGCACCCAGCATCTTCGCCACATGAGGGTGGTTCAGATCTGCCCACACCGTAGCCTGGCGCAGACACGCCTCTTCCTCGTCTTCCCAGCTTTGATGGTCCCCTCCACGGTCTCTTAGGATATCTCCTGTCTCACACTTGCTGACTCGGACAGCGTCCAAGTAGTAGATGCCCCCCTGGTCACACACCAGGTCACTTGGTGACAAAAACCAGCTTGGCGGATCCCCGACTAGCATAAAATCAGAATAACTCACGACCCGATCATAGACGTCCGAGATGACGTCGAGCTCCTCGGGTATTAGGAACTTTTCGTAGTGGGTCAAGCCATATTTTAGCAGCGTTAAAAGCTCCATCTGCTGCGTCTCGTCGCCCATGGCTTCAATTAATCGCTGTTCATCGTTGAGGATGTCTCGAAAGAGCTCCACACGCTCTCGACGCTCGAGGTCCAGCTGCCCCCTCCACTGTCGGATCTCCTCCGTCATCTCAATGCTCAATACTTCCATATATGACTCCACCACGCGACCGAAGCGCAGAAGAATGTCCACGACGCGTCCAGTCGACGCCAGCTTGAGCAGCACTCGCGTCTCCTTCTCATAGGCGCTGAGTTCGCCGGATAGATTCAGACCGCGACGACAAGAGCTGTTTGCCGTCACGAAATCATTGCGCAAGGCCACTAAGTAGTCGCCCAGGCGATCGGGAGTTCGGATCGCATTGGGCAGGTGGTTGCTCCGGCGCCATCGATTGATCCGCATCAGTGTGCTAAAGGGGAAAATGGATACTGTGATAGATTTCGTTGGGTACAGTTGACAAAATCAGGTTTTGATCGTTTTTAACAGGGTTAAGAATTTGATTGGCTAATTCCGGTCACTTCAACTTGATGCAGTCCAAAATAGCACAAAAATGGAGCTCGGCCTGGCATGCAAGTCACACTGAGAAAAAATGGTTGACGACGTCCAGGAGTTTACCCTTTTGCGCCGCTCCTCCCTGGCCTCCGGAGTGGGGCATCTGCTGGTGAAAACAAAGCCGCAAGCTGCCGAGTGCGAGGGCACTGAAAATCGTGTTGCTGAGGGGGTGGTTGCGACAGATTTGGTTGGCCACCATCGGAGCTTCGATGGACTCCGGATTATCCTTGTGTCTATGGTGACTACATGCTTGGGGTGGACTGTGTGGCTCTTACTTCTCAATATCGCACCAAACAACATGGTCAATCGTATCATGGACACAAGTAACTTGGAAAGTGGATCGTTTTGGCAGTTCGTGGATCTGCCGCTACCAATTTATGGGTTAGCCATCTTCGGTCTCACAATTATCGGTCTTGGTTATTCGTTCGTTCTGATCAAGCTTATATGGAAACGGGCGCACTCGCGGGTTCTGCCTGAAACCGGAGCGCTCGTAAGAATACATGCATTTTCAGCAGGTGTCGTTGATGCCATTAGGCGCGTGGCCACGGACAGAACCTCAAGCAGATCACTTTCCTCTGCGGCAAGCTTGGTCAGTTCACTAGCCTCCAGCGAAAGTATTGCTCGTAAACGGCTTGTATGTACACGTTGTCATTTGCCTTTGTAGGTACAAACTAACTTGTATGCGGTTAATCACGACAGAACCTCTGCATGAAACTCGTGGACCTCATGATCGAATTAGTAATGCTGCTTCAGATACTCGAAGACGGACTGCCAATTGTACTCGTCGCTGTCTTTACTGTCATCGTCGCTGCAAATGCGGTTTGGTGTGCTTTAGTGATGCTTCTTCCACTTAAACAAACAGTGCTGGTGGAGAACCTCATTGATCTAATGTACGTAGCCTGATTGAAAAACTTGTACTAGTAGCGTATCTTCTAACGTCGTGAGCTGCTCTCTACATGTAGATTCGACTTATTGATTGCAGTCGGATATCCCATGATCTTAGTATGCTACTGCCTCTCGGCGTTCAAGTTCGATCGTGCGAAATTGATGATCAATCAAGCGGTTTTCCCGCAAGGTTGGCTGGAGCAGTCTGCTAGTACCATCGCCGATCCCGTTCAAACTGTTGTGATTTACAAGACCTTGAATTCGCTACGTATCTCCTCTATATTCAACTTCTTCACACGAATGGGTATCAACATCACACTGTGGCTCAAATGTCAACGTCTCATGAACCTAATGGAGAATCCGCGAAGACAGAGCAGCAGCGTGTACCCCAGACATTGTCGGCTGGCAGCATCTTCTCTCGTGGCCTTCGCAATATTCGTGATCATTTACGTAGAAGAAAGCACGAGAACGTCAGCGGTAGCGTGTCATCCGCACCCTGAGTGCGTCATAAATGCCCGGCTCTGGCTTATGCTGGATTCACTTACGCAATGCCCGTGCTTAGCACTCATCGATAATAGTATCGCACCGAAAACGTATTCTGAGTGGATGGATCCGAAAGATATTACTGCCAAGGTCGCGCATTTGGCAACTATGGGTCTTCTCCAGATCGTTCAGCTCACCAATCGCAAGCTTGAGGTGCTACCAGAAGAACTGCGAGGTTGCACTGATATGAGATACCTGTAAGTTTTTTTGTGACTTCAATTGGAACATGCTGACCATTTTTTACCCGTGTTTTGCCCTAAGATCACTAGTGTACACCCACACACAAACTCTTCCAGTTTGGGCCAAGGAGCTCAAACAACTTGAATACCTGTACGTACAAAAATTGTAACATAGTGATGGCAAGTTGCCGTTTTCAGTACGCTGATCGTGTTGGTCATTTTGCTGGTTTTCAGCCATGTGGAAGGGAAAATGACGATTGGGCTAGTAAAACTTCCCGATGACATGTTTGACGAAATGTCCTCACTTACAACTCTACATCTCGGTTCAAATTTGGCACTCACCCAACTACCATCATTTCACGGACTCACGAGTCTCGAGATGCTTGTTGTAGCGGTTTCCTTGTCGCTACTGGAACTGCCTGCGTTTGATAGTCTTTACAAGTTGGAACGGTTAATCATTGGCATCATGCCCCAGCTTGACAGCCTACCGGACTTCTTACCAATTCACGATTTAAAGTCTTTTGTCATTATGGACCGAGGGATGTGGTGTTGCAATGGTTTCCTAGGTGAATGTGACCTTCAAAATCCGTTGTGTGGCGTTCATCCAGTCTGGGGATCTCCAGCAGCTAGTTGCTTACCAGCCAACAGAACAGCGTCACGTGCCACGCTTGATGCGATTGCAAAGTTTTCCAAAAGTGTTTGTGGTGGATTGCTCCGCCCTACTGACGATCAACCTCCTCCAACTGAGGAAAGTATGACATCGTGTGGCGGGATATTATATCGTCAATGTGAGCTTCCAGGTATTCCGAAGGCGATTTGCTACAACGCGAGGTTCATGGGAACTGCATGTACGCCCAGTAAATACCCAATTGAAATGCGACGGCGTCAGATAGCACAAGGTGTGGATGATCCATGTACTCCAGTATATGAAGCATGGCTTGGGTGCAAGTGATACCGACATTTGCTTCATTATGTATGTGAGAAACTATCAATTCTCCAAGTAGCAAATGGATTTTGAGCAATGCTTGCGCTACAGCCACTGCTTTCGCATTACAACCAACCTTGCTTCCGGATCAGGGATCGACAGACGCACGTCGGCGATCTCGTCAATTTTGGCTCGAATCTCTGGTGTTAGTTTGTCCACGAAGTTGAGGGAGTCGAGGTTTTCATCCAGCTGCGCCACGCTAGATGCACCAAGGATAACAGTTGAGACGTGCTTGTTGGAAACACACCATGCGATTGCAAGTTGAGCAAGTGTGCAACCGACTTCCTTTGCTATCGTTGTCAACTTGTCAGCTTTAGCGACCTTTGTCTCAAAGCCGTCGGCCACGTAGTTCATGTACGACGATATCGACAGGCGGGAGCCCTGCATTTAAACACGAAACGATAAGAACGAGTAGGAATTTCAAATTCTTGGTGCATTCCCAACTCCAGCTACTGCTTACCTCAGGAATCCCCTTGCTGTACTTGCCAGTCAAGATGCCGAATGCAAGAGGGGACCACGTCGTAAGCCCATAGCCATATGTCTAGCACCGCATACACCAGCGCACACGTTAGTTATATGCAAGAATTGAGCAGATTTAAAAAAATTGAAACATCTAGCGCACCTCGTACAGAACATTGTACTCGAACTCAACACGTGACCGCTCGAGGATATGATACTGCGGTTGATCGAACGCCTGTCATACATCTTTGTCAGTCCAACACCATTGCCCACCCAACTACAAGCTCTCACCGGTCGAACGAGTCCTAGGCGATCTGCGATCTCGCACGCTTCGATGATGTCGTGTGCGCTCCACTCACTAGTCCCCCAATAGAAAGCCCAGCCGCGGTTGATCACGTAGTTCATCGCCCGCACGGTTTCCTCGATTGGTGTGCATGGGTCTGGTCGGTGGCAGAAGATGGTATCGACATATTCGAGCCCGAGACGCTTAAGCGAGGCTTTAGTTCCTTCCACAATGTGCTTGCGACTGAGTCCCTGTTCGTTAGGCCCCGCCTTTTGGTCAGTCCCGTGTTTGGTGCCGAAGAAGATTTTGGTGCTCAAGACGAGATCCTCTCGACTCCACACGCCTCGTTCAATGCCCGTCGCAATGATCTTCCCCATAAACTCCTCCGATTGACCGCCTGCATAGGCCTCTGCAGTGTCGAAGAAGTTGACGCCTCGCTTGAACGCTCGCTCCAGGACGGCGTACGATTTCTCAAAATCTAGTTGCGTGTTAAAGGTCACGAAGCTCCCGAACGAGAGCTTCGACAGCAGCAATCCAGTGTTGCCCAGGAAGCGGTGCTGCATGTCATTGGGCGGCGAGGCCATCATTGATATCGGGGACAATGATACCGGGCCTGGATAATGGAATATTCAGGCTAAATGAGAGGAAACTGAAGTTGAAGTTGTGATTATGTGCTTGATTGTGTCGAGCAAGGAATGCATCATTATTGCGCTTGAGACGAGTTTCGACACTGCATAACCTTCGGACACGAAGGGATAGCCTGCACCAACTAATGTAGCCGCCTTTGGTCTCAGCTTTCTGGTCTTCCAACATTGTCATTATCTCATTTGCCTCGCCCCGAGCAAGCCTCAACCAAAGCAGTTAGTCCCTCAAGTCCACGATGAGCGCGGTAGCATACGACATGAAGTATCGCTTCCTGGGCAACACTGGACTGTTGGTGTCCAAGTTCGCGGTCGGCAGCTTCGTCACGTTCAACACGCAACACGATTTCGAGAAAACCTACACCATCATGGAGCATGCTTTCAAGAACGGTATCAATTTCTTCGACAACGCTGAGGCGTTCGCGGACGGCGAGTCGGGGCGGTACATGGGCAAGATCATTGACACTGGTATCGAACGTGGACTGTGGGCTCGTGAGGACCTGGTCATTATCACCAAGATCTTCTTCGGAGCGAAGATGTTCTCCGGTGGTGGTGGTCCGAACGACACGGGTCTGAGCCGCAAGCACATCGTGGCGCTCAAGCGCTTCGGCCTGGACTACGTGGGCCTGATCTTCTGCAACCGCCAGGATCTATACACGTCGATGAAGGAGATTGTTCGAGCGACGAACTACGTCATCGAGCAAGGGTGGGCGTTCTACTGGGGTACGAGTGAGTGGACTGCGACGGAGATCATGGAGGCATGCGAGGTGGCTGACCGTCTTAGCCTCACCCGACCGGTATGTTGTGCTATGGTGATTCACCGGCTGCTGTGCTGACTTAGCAATGAATGTGATGTGTGTAGGCTTTCGATCAAACTCGCTACAACATTCTCGACCGCTCTTGTGTTGACTACGACTTCGTAAACCTGTACAAGAAGTACAAGTACGGCGTGACGGCCTTCTACGCGCTAGCCGATGGTGTGCTGATGGGCAAGTACAGCAATGGTATTCGCGTATCACCATTCCGGCGTTCAAGACGCTGATCGAAAACAGCCTCGAGGAGAAGACCGCCAAGGTGCTGTAGCTTGCTGAGATTGCCAAGGACACCCTACCGCAACTGGCTATTGCCTGGAGCGTCTCGAACGAGAACGTCTCGACGGTGCTGTTTGGCGCATCGAGAATCGGACAGCTCGATGAGAACCTGAAGGTTCTCGAATTTGCCGACAAGATCACCCCGGAGATCCGTGCGAAGATCGATGCCATCGCGCAGTTCACGCCTAAAGTGCCCCAAGTACAGGCGTTCGTGCACGAAATGCGTGCCAAGTGGCTGTAAGCAGCACCGTCAATCGAAGCGGTTTGGTCTTGAGGTAGGCCGTGCATTAGACGCCGTGTGATCCTTCTTCCTCGAATAACAAAAAAAAAGAATCATGCTAGTGTTCCTACCAACTCATCCAGTTTTGTGTATCATTCTGTCGTTAGTATTGCCATAACCTGAAAAATATCACGAACAAGAAGCTAGGTCAGGTTGTGTATCTTTGAGCTCGATTTATATTCATCACTTCTTACCAGTATTATATTTTTAGTGCCAACGAAAGACACTCTCAAAGCAATGCTCCAAGAATATCGGCACTTACAACGGCGTCTTCAGCACCTGACCCTGCTGGAAAACGGGACCGGTTGGCAGCGGAGGTAGGGGTTCAGTGTGCTATTCTCCTCGTGCCGTCGACATAGCGGCCTCAGTTGGCTTTCGGCCTTATACGATATAAACCACTCGAACGCAGCAGAAAGATGTACTCAACCAAGGTGCTCAACAAGAACATCGCCCAGAGCTACCTCACCATCGGTGATCCGTACCGAGACCCGCACCTGATCGAAAGCAAGAACTCACGCCACAAAGGTAAACAGATCCTGACTGTACCAGCGAAGAATACTTGCAATGGTTCCGGATACTTCGAGAAGAAGACGTATGCGTCGGATCCGTTGCAGGACAACACAGCGTACCTCAAGTCGCAGCCGATGGACACGCGCAAGTCTGGTTTCGGTTCCAAGGATGCAAGTCGACGAGACGAGTTTATGAGCCACATTCGCACAGAGCAGTACCGTGAGACTCTGCACACAGAGATGAAGATCCTCGACAAGCAGAAGCAGGACGATCCGCCTGGTCTCTTTGATGCACTGGACTCTCTGAACCAGAGCCACCACTTCCCAGAAGGTTTACAGGAAACGAAGCACCTGTACGATATCGGGCGTTCACAGACCACCGAGTTCAATCAGAAGTCACACCGAGACACATTCTACACGATGCGTGTGGGCAACTCGCAGTACAAGCGAAACAACGGGCCGTTCATGCTCACTTCCGAGTCCATCGGGCTCGGTGCTGATGACGTCACTGGAAATCGCCCGACACCAAAGGGAGCAAGCACTAGACAGTTCTACGACCACAGCCACCTGCACGTTTGAGAATAGCAACACAGCAGCATGACTTGGTAGCCGGCAGAGTTTGAATAATGAACTAAGTATGCTGCACAATGAAGCGATCAGTTCATTCGTTAGACCTTCCTTCCACCCTTCATTTCACCTTGATTCAGTACGACAAGCGCAGCTTAGTCAATGGCACGAGCCTTCTTGAGGCGGTCCACCAGTTCGCCAGATCGCTTCAATTCCTGAACGTTATCGTTTCCACCGACGCTCTTGCCCTTGATAAAGAGGTTAGGAACAGTAGACTGGCGCGTCAATCGGAACAGGAAGGCCTGAATGGCCGCACCATCCTCACGAGTGTCCAGCTCAAAGACCACGGGTTTGGCACCAAGACCCGCTAACGTCTCCTTCGTCTTTTTGCAGTACGGGCAGTACGACTTGCTGAAGAGCACCAGTGGGTTCTGGTTGATAGCCGACCACACAATGTCCTCAGCAAGAGTGCCGCTTTTCTCCAGCATCGCACGAAGCGTGCCAGTCTGCTGCAACTTCTGCACTTCACGTAGACCACCAACATACTTGCCCTTAATGAAGACAAGCGGCAGAGACTTGCGACCAGTCAGCGCCTCCACAGCCTCCAGCTCGTACGGGATGTGGTTGGCAAAGCCAATCTCCTTAGTACGCACAGTCGTGCGGAATTTGTGCAGCATCTTCTCAATCTCTTTCTTTTCGGGGCAGTCCTTCTCGGAAATGATGACCACACTGTGCGGTGTCTCGAGCACGTACGTCAGCTCCTCAAGACGCATCTTGGCTTCATCGTTGTCGTTCGTGAGGCGCTCTACAAACTCGACCTTCTCGAAGCTAATCTGGTAGTCGCGGTCCTCCTTGGCCATGAAGCCGGGCGACATCTTCTTGGAGATGAACTGAATTGTATGCCAACCTTCCACGACTCGTCCGAAGGTCGTGTAACCCGGTCCGTCCTCGCTTGGTTTGTTCCTCTCCGTGTTGTCATGCAGCATGATCGCGAACTCGGTGTTACCCGAGTCCGACTTGTGGCTACGCGCAATGACCACCATTCTCTCGGTGCTGGGAGCACTGTACTCTACTGGCAGGTTGCCAATGGAAGATTTCTTGTCGAAAAGGAATCCTCCTCCTTGCAGAACGAACTTGGGTTCATTATAGTAGAAACCGGCGTCCTTGAGGTAGTAGTCATCGCTCACGAGCTTCTTGAAAGCTTCCACGGTCTTGGGTGCATGCTCTGGGTACAGATCGACAGTGAAAGTGCCAAACTTGGTGGTGAACTGCACCATCGTCTTATTGTGGAAAGGTGTGGATAACACTGAATGCATCTGCGCGCTCGAGAACTGCCACACGTGCACCAAGATCATGAGACTGAAGAATGTCACCACGGCATACACGAGAGGTGCACCGAACCAGGAGCCAGAGGACGCGGCACGAGCACCCGCGCGACCACCGGGGCGTGCTCGAGGCACACTGCGTCCACCTTCCGTAACGTTCACCTCCGCTTCGACAGGAACACGGCGCTTATTGGCGGCGGCGTCCATCGCGATTCTACTGCGATCCAGCGATACAATCAGAAAATGAGTGAAGATACCTGTGAAAACCGATCCTCGAAAAAGGGTTAACCCTGATTCTCGCAACTTTAGTAATGTTGCGTTTTATTCACGGCAACTTAAACGAACAGCAGAGCTGCCAGACGTGACACTACCGACGATGCAACTCGCGGCGTTCGTGGACCGCGTGGGGGCGGCCATCGCAGGCCAGGACGGCGAGTCGATGGCGCAGATGCTGAACCTGACGGGTGGCTGCGCGAGTGTGGACCTGCGCACGCTGACAGCGCAGCAGGTGGCGCAGATGTGCCACAATAAGTTGGCACGCTTCGACGGATACGCTGAGGTGGTGGCTGGCATCATGCAGGCACGCAAGCACCTGGAATGGCAGAGCTTTGCGGACGCCTACAGTGCGCAGATCGGCGCCGTCATGTACGATGCAATTGCAGGAGGCTGGATAGTTTTACAAAAAAACTAATATCGTGTGTGACGACTGCAGTAAGTTCATGGAGATGCTCAGGGAGGAGACAAACTGGGTCATGCCCTTCCTACACGTGCTGTTTGTGGACACACGGCTGTTGGCTACGAGGGTGAGTAGAACGCGATCTAGTGCATTAATAATGGTTTAAACTAATCGTATTGGTTTACCCCCCCCCAGGCAGACCACGAGGCCTCCGAGAAGGCTGGAGACGAGATCCACGACAGTCTACGCAGCGCCGAACAGCATCTGAAGAAAGGTTTTGCTATGGCAGCCAATGACCGAGCTCCGCCCGAGCACAACAAGAAGATGGGCGCGCTCTTTATCGTGAACCAGCTCTTCAAGATCTACTTCAAGCTCAACATGATCCACTTGTGTCGCAACCTCATTCGCGCTGTGGAAGGCCCGGCCTTCCCGAAATTTGAGCTCTTCAACAAGAGCGACAAAGTCACGTACCAATATTACGTGGGCCGTATCTCCATGTTTGAAGACCAGTACCAGAAGGCGGAGACGTGTCTTGACTACGCGTGGAAGCACTGCCATTGTGGCAAAACGCGCAACAAACGCATGATTCTGCAGTTCCTCGTGCCTGTGAAGCTGCTGCTGGGTATCATGCCGTCGCCTAAACTGCTTTCCGACTTTGCATTGGAAGAGTACACGGGTCTCACGGACGCCATTCGTGACGGCAATCTGCACCTTTTCACGGAGTATCTGGCTCAATACCAGGACAAGTTCATCCAGCAAGGCGTGTATTTATTGATCGAGAAACTCCGCCTCTTGGTTCTACGAAATCTCTTCAAGAAAGTGTACGTGTCATGCTGTCTTGAGAGGAGCACACAGTGAATTACTCGCACTAACTTTTGTTATTGCAGTTATCTGATCCAGCAGAGCCACCAGTTGCAAATGCAAGACTTCCAGTTGGCGTTGAATGTTGCTACGGGTCACTCGATGGGCATGGATGAGATCGAGTGTGTCCTCACGAACCTCATTTTCAAGGGCTACATCAAGGGCTATATGTCGCACACGAAGAAGATCCTTGTCGTCAGCAAGACACAGCCTTTTCCTCCAATTGTGAATGTGTCCAGCTAGGTATCAGGTGAGAGAGCACGCTCAGGGGTAATCCTGACTTCTGTGGTATAACGTAGCCGCAGTTTTCTTTTACTTGTATCCAGGTTGTTACTAAACCTTTGGGATTTTTCACTTTTGCACCATCGTTCGCATCATCGCCTCCAGTTCCACTCGACGTACACGTTTGTATTCCTCGATGATCTCCCCGCGAGTTTTACCTGAGGCATCACCTGAGCCAGACCCGACCATCTTCAGGATCGATGACGCCTTCACCTGCTCACTCGAGGTTGTGGGCTCCGAGCGGCCAGTTGGTTGCGATCTAGCAATTGTGTTAACACGGTTTCTCCTGTTTCCAGCGGTGATCTGTTCAGTTGGGCTGAGACTTTCACTTGGCGGTGATGGAGTGTAGTGTCTGACATGTTGCCGTGATGCAAGGTGCCGGTCAACAGTAAGATCTGTTCGTGACGAACCTGGCGGGCTCTCCACAAGCACAGGAAGGATTCGTTTAACAGGCTCAGCTTTCCGTTGATTAGCAGCCGAATTGTTCGTCTCTACGTGGTTGTTTAGCTTCTCTTCATCACGATCTCCGCTTCCAGAATCCGGCTGTGTGTCGCGCAATGGTGGTGGAACCGCTACAAGTTGTCGACGCAGCCTTGTCTCGACAGCCCAGGATCTGGTAACTGTTGGCCGCACTGCTATCAAACTCGTTAGGGTGAGCGCAACAGAGAAAACCAGCTCGATTACAATTCGATAGCTACGTACGAGGATCTCCTGAATCAACTGCAGCAGCATCGGGAGGTGCTTTACCAGCACCAGCGTTTTGAGCTTCCATCTCCTGTTTACAACAATCTCCGTCAGTTTGTGGTGAGTTGCATTAACCAATAGGTACGCGTACCGCCTCCAGCATCCAGTTCAGGCGAGCCTCCTTTGATTGAAGCTGATTTTCAAGGGTTGTAAGCCGGTCTCGTGGTTGATCACCCATTTTTCTTTGGTTGTGTGATGTGTCATCGACGAGTTGATCTGTCGTGTTGTTCCTCTGGCGGTCTTGACGGAGCTGTCGCGTAACATTTGACTCTTCTTCACCCTTACTTAACGTGTGCTTGAGCATCTGCCTCGCTGAAAACTGTTGGGGTGACATTTTCACGATAGCTCCACCAGCGATGATAGTTTTACCATTTTTGTTATTGCTGCGCTCGTTCCTAAAACCAAAGCTGGTGAGATAGGCATCGAACACTTTCCAAGCAGACAGCAAAGTCATACCTGTCAATTCGTGACCGCTCTGCCTGCAGGAGCAACTCCTTCAGACGTCGATTTTCTTCCACTAACGCGGCATTGGAGGAGCTACCAGCTGCTTCGCTTGGTTTCTGGTTTGCTTTCCGTAGCAGCTCTCGCAGACGATTGACCTCAGCCTGTACACCAGACAGTAATTAGACAGGATGAAAATTATAATACGGCAAATACCGTCGATACATACACGCATGGCCTGGATTTGACGCTCGTAGTATAGTCGCTGTTCTCCAAGCATTTCGTTACTAAACAAGCTGCGTCGAACGGGGCGGCAACGGATAGCTTTCAGCCGCTCAGCAAACCGTAATGTGGCAAAAGACTCCTCCAAACATGCTTTAGATGGGCTGATTGTAACGATGAACGCTGTACGCCCTGATCCTTGTAGGCAAGGTTGGAGCAATCGTGTCAAGACGGAGTCTCGAAACGGGACGTGTGACCGTTCTTTCTGCGTAAGAGCCATTACGCAGTTGGTCAACGCAGATAAGCTCTTGTTGATTGAAGCCAGCTCGGTCGCATACTTGTCGGTCAGATCGCTCCCGTTCACGTGCCATTTCTCGGATCCTCTGCATTCACAGTACACTGCTGGGTGAGCGAATGCAAACAAGGACTACACTCAAACAAACAAGAGAGCAATACTCACGCTAGATCCACGAAGAAGAGTCTTGAAAGACGAGTCTTTTTTGCGTTTATCTTGCTGGATCCATCATTTGCGAGGATCTTTCGGAGAGTGATTTGAAATACAGCGTGTCCTCGGCTGCTGAATTGGTTGTAGAGATTATCTCGGACCTCTCGATGTTGTGAGCCCTGCATCATAATTAAGGGTCATCCATATATGCAGCTAGTATTTGAAAAATACGATGCAAGTCTTACCTCTCGAAACGCTTGCAGTAGTTCAGCTTTATTGGTAACATTACGCGATGTCATGCCGTCCACAAACACTGACCCATCCAGCTTTTGCCGGATTTGGAGACCTTTTGCATCCTTAGCGCTGAGCGAGCTGTTCCAGCGAGCACGCTGCGTCGTCGACCCTTTTGTTGCAACAGCCTTGGCATCCGGTGACTTATTCCCGTTCACTGGTATTACCTCTGGTGAGAGGATGTCGAATATTTTCTCATTGTAAATCTGAGAGGAAGAATATCCGTCATTCATATACAAGGATTCTAACCTTTTTAAAAATTCGCCTCACCTCGATAAAAGAGCAATAAACGCTGAATAACGTCCCACCTGATCCTCGCTTCTCGCGCTCTATTTCGGCAAAGAGTCTTTCGACACTTCTAGGAACCACTCCGTTGTTGACTGGAACAGGACTCGCTACGTCGATATCAACACTTTCGTCACGCTGAAGCCCGCTCATAGCTGATAACAACGTACAATGAGATTCTACATGGAAGCCGGGTGTTTCAAACACATAATGCCTTACTGTATGTTTTCCCTGTTCCTGTTTGACCACTAAAACAACGGAAAAACATTCATCATCCACTTTTAGGGTCGGAAAAAGTGTATCTTAGCACCACAACCAGTAGTTAGCTTGGCAACCTACTAGGCAAACACGCTGCAATCAAACCCGGCAATTAAACCGTCGACACAATCTGCAGTACCAGTACATGTACAAGTGTTACCATTGAATCTACACCATAACCACCGACGCCAGAATACGTAACGTACCTGATACGCTGCGATATACGCTGTCTTGTGATGCTCCTTGGGTAAACACGGCGTCAGCTTTCAAGATCTTTAGCTGTCCATTCTTCTCCCAAACCACCTCGCTTTGCTGTCATCCAGATTATCCACAAGGATCAGAGCTAACTTGGAGCAGTACCGTTTAGCACCGCATATCACCTGGACGGTTATAGTCGCGGTGGAGTTCCCTTCCGTCCCACGAATGTCTTCTGCAGCTTTTGGCCATGGTTCTTCTCGCGCTTGGAGAGGTCTCACACGCACGACGACTTTCATCTTCTCATTTGCCACGGTATTGTTGTCGCAGTTAGATCCAGCGCTCATTGCGTCACCATTACCGGCCACATTGGTTACATTGACAGCAGAGCCCCCTTGTGGTTTGCCGACCATGCTTAAGGTGACCACTACTGACGCTTTTGTTTCTCCTTTTGTCCAACAGTTATCCCATGTCAAAAATCAAAATAGAAGGCGGGTATTCTTAATAGCAGACCTCCACCTCGATACGATCAATGACGTAGCAAGCATTTCCCGAGAGGCAGCAATAGGTGATCAGGCACTCAACACCCTCGTGCCTTGCGAATTGATCGACCACGTTGAAGATAATTTAGAAACGAGCGAGCTTGCCCATTAGAAACGATGTAATGTAACGTGAAGGTCGCTTCAGTGAAGCATACTAAGTTCAAGACAGATCACAATGAGGAAGGGTGCAGAAGACTTCGCAATGAATCGCTGCCAGCGACTCGCTGTCGGGCCAAGTTCAAAGCTTGTGCAAACGGACAACGGCTGGAAGCTTGCAGCAGCTCGTGCGCATAGCATTCGCGATACATTGCCGATGAAGATCTCGGGGCGACGCGCCGTTGTCGAGGCTAGGAAGATTGGCGCGAAATCGGCCAATCAGGGCCCAGTCCGCCCGAGCTCCGAAATTCGGATGAAATGGCTCGGTTGACACGAGTCCGAAGCTCTTATTAACAAGTCGCCAGCGAGCCTGCCACGCCGCGGTAAGCAATGTGATACCTAGCTGGAGACAAAGGAAGAAACGTGGAGCTTGATGCCGATTTTTGCATCATCAGCGTGCAATCAATCTGCACCGGTGAGGACAGTATCTTGTGCCCTGTCCATGCACTGCACATCAATTTCTGCTTGGTGCTTGCCACGTACCCACGGCCTCGAATCTACAGAACGCTGCTGCCGATATCCATGGATACATGTACTGGATTCGTGAGCTCATTTCCGAATTGGCCTCTCCAGCCTCAAGTTCCTGAAACAAGCTCCCTTCTTACAATAATGGTGTCGATTGTGTCGATTAAGGCCCGCCAGATCTTTGACTCGCGTGGCAACCCGACCGTCGAGGTTGATCTCGTCACCGAGCTCGGCGAGTACCGTGCTGCTGTCCCTAGCGGAGCCTCCACGGGCGAATTCGAGGCCCTGGAGATGCGTGACGGTGGCAAGGACTACATGGGCAAGGGCGTCCTGAACGCCGTGAGGAACGTGAACGAGATCATCGCTCCCGCTCTTGTCGGCAAGGACGTGACGAAGCAGGCCGAGATCGACCGCTTCATGGTGGAGGAGCTCGACGGCACGCAGAACGAGTGGGGCTGGTGCAAGAAGAAACTGGGCGCCAACGCCATTCTGGGTGTGTCTCTCGCTCTGTGCCGTGCCGGCGCCGCTGCCAAGAAGCAGCCTCTGTGGCAGCACATCGCCGACCTGGCCGGCAACCCGACCCCGTGCCTGCCAGTGCCGTCGTTCAACATTATCAACGGTGGCTCGCACGCTGGCAACAAGTTGGCCATGCAGGAGTTCATGATCCTGCCTGTGGGCGCCACAAGCTTCACGGAGGCCATGAAGATCGGTTCGGAGGTGTACCACAACCTGAAGAAGGTGATCAAGGGCCGCTACGGCCTGGATGCCACCGCTGTGGGTGATGAGGGTGGTTTCGCCCCGAACATCCAGTCGAACGGTGAGGCCATCGATCTGATCGAGGAGGCCATCAAGGCTGCCGGCTACACGAACCAGGTGCGTCTTGGCATGGACGTTGCTGCGTCGGAGTTCTACACTGGCGCCGAAGACGCTCGCTACAACCTTGACTTCAAGAACGAGAACGCTGCGGAGTCGGAGAAGATTTCGGCTGACAAGCTGCAGGAGGTGTACGAGGGCTTCATTGCCAAGTGCGCTAACTCGAGCAAGATCGTGTCCATTGAGGATCCGTTCGACCAGGACGACTGGGCTTCGTGGGTGAAGTTCACGGGCAAGGTTGGCAAGGACGTTCAGATCGTGGGCGATGACCTTACGGTGACGAACCCGACCCGTGTGAAGAAGGCTATTGAGCAGAAGGCTTGCAACGCTCTTCTGCTGAAGGTGAACCAGATTGGCAGCATCACGGAGTCGATTGAGGCCGTGACGATGGCTAAGAAGGCCGGCTGGGGCATTATGGCCAGCCACCGCAGCGGTGAGACCGAGGACACGTTCATCGCCGACCTGGCTGTGGGTCTGAGCGCCGGCCAGATCAAGACTGGCGCCCCGTGCCGTTCGGAGCGTCTTGCGAAGTACAACCAGCTTCTGCGTATTGAGGAGGAGCTTGGCAACAAGGCTCGCTACGCCGGCGAGGACTTCCGTGACGTGGAGAAGCTCGGCAAGTACTCGACTTTTTAAATGCCTTGTCATTGATGTACTCGTGCGTGCAAGCGTTATCGAGTATGTAGCTTTTGTGTTGAATGAATCGACACTCGTTTTATGATTTACTTCTTTTAATATTGGTCTTGTTGAAGTTGCAAAAAACACATGACATGGCAGTTTGGTCCCGAGAGTCAGACCCTCGACGGAGGCATTAGACGCATGCGGTGGAGGCTTTCACGCTTCACTGAAGAGGGAGCTGGAAACGTTTCCGTTCATGTTGGGTTGCAGGTAGCAACCATGGGTTTCGTGCGCACAATGGAGTCCGAGAAACGCGTGCTGATTGTGGGCCAAGAGGCTACTGGTACATCCCAACTCAGCTGCTGCTAAAAGTCTGTAGAATGGAATCTCGCGTGGTACATGTATTGAGGCGAGGCCTTGCTTCTGCTCTGTTGCAGTGCCGCGCACCTTTCGATCCGCAGTAAATACGGCGTCGCAATGCCATAAAGGCCGAAAGTCGCCTGGGCGGTTCCAAAATGGAGTTCGTACGATATTTATTCGAGGAATCAGTGCGCATCTACTGCATCATGTAGAATAAACTTTGCTTGGGACGTATCCCATGGCGCAATATTTTCTACCCTGCGTTATTCCGAACTGCCCCAATCGTTTTACAACGCAACTCGGACGGTCAAGCTCTCTGTCCGACTGGAAACATTATGCGCTGCTGGGATAAGGCCTTAGCATTTGACAAGCGTCGTCGGGCCGCTCGCTCTCTTTGCTTGCACGACTCAAACAAGCCTCGATCATGGTGAGGAATCAACGTTCATATGCCATGCTGGTGCGTGTCTCTTGCGAAAGCGCTGACCAATCACATCACACCATCCTA